TCCTGCGGCCCCGGCGGCTGGCTGCCCTGGTAGGAGCGGAGTAAGACCTTGTGCTTGGTGACGGCCTCGCCGCGGCGCCGCTGGTGCTCCACCAGGAACTCCTTGAGGCGGTTGGTGGTGAAGGTGAGGGTCTGGCGGCGCAGCTTCATCAGGTAGGCGTCCTGGAGCCACGCGTTGGCGAAGCAGTCCTTCACCGTGGGGCGGCCCCTGGGGTGGCACGGTGTCAGGCGCCCGCCGCGGCATGGCGACACCAGACCCTCGGCCCCCATCCCCACGACCAGCCTCCCTCCGAGACCCGCGGAGTCCCTGCTCTCCCCCAGGATGCCAGGGTTCTCAGGACCGGGACCTCCCAGGGTCTCCAAGAGCAGGGTTGGATGATAGGCTCATGGTTCCCAGTAGATCCTAAGGTAAGGGTGGATCCCCAGGGTCCCCATGATGACCCCAGCCAAGTGTCTGAAGGGTCCTGTGGGGCAGGGAGCTGCCTGCCGGCCACATCCTTGGTGACCGGGGTATGCACTCACCAGGGGTGGACAGAGAGGACCTTGCGGATAAAGAGGGCAGCATTCTGCGAGACGTTGGGGTAAAGCTTGAAGGCGTCAAAGCGCCCTGCCAGGATGCGGTTCTCCGTCTCAATTGGGTCCAGTTCAAAGAATGGCGACCGCCCGCTGAGCCTGCGAGGACAGAAGGGAGGCACAGGCTGGGGCGCTGGGGTGCCGTCCTGCCCCGCTCTGCCCCCTGCACACCACAGCAGCGGGGGCACCTGGGACCCAGCACCCATCTCCGACGGGTCGGCCATGGCTCCCTGGAGTTTCCGACCCCCACGTGTGGCTAGGAAGGGCTTGTAGGGCTACAACATCCTCCACAGTCCCCACAACCCAGCACCAAGGCTGGGGTTCCCCACGGCACTGAGCTCCACGTGCTCACCCCACCATCGCCTTGTCTTACATGATGTAAGTGAGGACTCCAACACCCCAGACATCTGCTGCAGAGCCCACTGGGTCGCCTTTCACCACTTCTGGTGCTGTGATCAGGGGAAAAGGTCTGTTATGAATGCAGAGGAGTGCTGGTACCCCTGGTACCCCATCTTCACCTCCCATTACTCCCTGCTGACACCTAATACCGCAAGAGGGACCAGCACCTCCAAGGACACCCCAACCACTTCATCGACACCCAAACCCGCCCAGAAAGCTCAGCCACCCTAAGGAACCCTCCCCACAGACACCCTCAGTATCCCAGAGACTTTCCAACTTCCCCCATGGTCACCTCAACTCCACCATGGTCCCAGTCCCTCGCTGCTCTGCATGGGCACACACACAACCCCGCTGCACTGACTGCAGGCACAGGCATGTCCCTCATCCCATTCCTATCCCATCGCCACCCCATCTTCCCCATCTCCATTTCCCACCCAATCCCATCCCATTCCATCCTCACCCCATATTCATCCCCATCCCCACCACGTGCACGCTCTTGGTGCCCCACTCACACATGTACTCGAGGGTGCCCACGCGCCGCCCCAGCTGCCGCAGCATGAGGGGGTTGTAAGTCTGGGCGCTGCCAAAGTCGATGATCTTTAGGCTGTTCATGCCCGAGATGATGACGTTGTCCGGCTTGATGTCGAGGTGCACGATGCGGCGGCCGTGCAGGTACTCGAGGCCCTGCAGGAGCTGCAGCACGTAGGTCACCACGTCGTCCTCCGAGTAGCGAAACCTGCAGGCAGGCAGTGGCAGGCAGCAGCCCTGCACCCGATGGCCCCGCTGCATCCCTGTGCCCTCCCGTACCTGTCCACGATGCTGTAGAGGATCTCCTTGCCTGTGCAGTTTTCGCAGATGAGCACCAGGTAGCGGGGAGTGATGTACGCCTCGTGCAAGGACATGATGCGCTCATGGTGTAGCACCTTGAGGATCTCATACTCCTGCAGCACACTCTGTTTCCTCTCCACCTCGTACGGCACGATCTTGGCCATGAAGTACTTCCCTGTGGCATTCTCCTTGCACAGCCGGATCACACCGAATCGGCCCCTGCAGCAAAGGGCAGCGCTCAGCCCCCCTGAGCATGGAGCACTGCCGCTCAAACGCTGGACCAGGGGGAAGCCCCAGGGCGCACAGGCAGGCGGAGGGCTGCGTGGTGCCCTTGGAGCCGGGGCTGCCAGCAAGCAGGGACACCCCCTGGCAGGGCCCCGTCTCACGGCTCCTCACCTCGCCTTCTCATCCAGGAAGGTGTACGGCTTCTGAGGGACGCCCTGCCGCAGCGCCGTGCTGTCCTTGGCCTCCCGAGCTCCGCTCGGAGCAGGAGGCTCCTTGGAGGACGGGGTGATTGTGGGGGGCTCTTGCGTAGTGGGTGATGCGGGGGGCGTCGAGACAAAGGAGGTCACCATGTAGGGAGGCATTTTCCGACTGGAAGCAGTGTTGGGAGTGGGAGCCACCGTGGGGGCTGAGCTGGGAGTGGTCGATGCTGGAGAAATGGGGACAAATTTGGAGGGGGACGGAGAGCGGCGCTGGGGGGAGCTGCGGCCTGGGGTGAGGGCAGGCGC